TACGTTGTGTGGCATTTAGGGAGGAAGACCAGGTGGGGGAGGCATAGGTGAGCTTGGGGAAGTATGAATGTTGTGTAAACACTGAGGAGCTCGTGTGCAGGAACTCCGAGGGACTTGAGTCGGCGGAGGAGGTGGAGACGGAAACTGGAGGATTTGACAACTTCACTGACGTGTGGTTTCCAATTTAGTTTGTTGTCTGTATGGTGACGCCGAGAGCTTCGTGGAATCTACAACCTGGAGTGTGTTCGGACCTAGAGTAATGGAAGGAGGTGGGACAATGTCGGAGGAGAGGTTGATGTGCATAACCATGGTCTTGGTATGGTTGATGGTGACATGGTTGTTGGTGGCCCAGTTTTGGAGACTGTTCAATTAATCCTGAAGGTGGTGATAGTTGGGAGCAGAATTGTTGACGCTGATCCCAATGGTGGAGTCGTCGACATATTTCCAGCGAGCAGGGGTTTCTCTTAGGGCATCATTGATGAGCATAAGGAAGCAGAGTGGTCCCATCTTGGTGCCTTGGGGGACGCCACAGGTGAGTGACTGAAAGGTGGAGACAGCCCCTCGGAAGCGTACAGCTTGGCGTCGGTCACTGAGGAAGTCTGTAAGCCATGGTATAAGACTTCTCCGAAGCCCGAGGTCAATAGCTTTGTTGATGATTATATTGTGGTCGACTAGGTCGAATGCTTTAGTGAAATCAATGAAGGCGACAGCTACAGACGTTTTTCGTTTCTCGAGATGGCGGTATATGTAATCGAGAAAGCTGACAAGACAGTGAGTGGTGGAGGAAGTTTTCATGTTGCCAAATTGCTGAGGGTCTACGACTCCTGCAATATCAGCATAAGCCCAGTCGAACACAAAACTTTCACAGATTAGGCTGGGTATTGGGGTGATTGCAATAGGTCGTAGCTGATTTAAGGATTGTGGGCTGGTTGACTTGGGCACTGGTGATACATAAGAGGTCTTCCAGTCAGCTGGGCATCTGGCTTGACTGAGAGAAGCATTGATGATGGAGCATAGGGGTTTAGCAAGCTCCGGGGAGAACTCCTTGAAGAGTTTCATTGGTAAGTCAATGGGGGTGGTAGAGCGTTTTAATTTTAGTTTGTCCAGGCGTTTTGCTACTTCAAATTCTTCTACTAAGTCAGTGGGAAGGGGGGCTGGTTGGTAAGCAGGGAGAGTGGTTGTGTCAAGCCGGGGGAGCGTCTGGCATATAGTAGCGAAATGGTTATTTGTTTGCTCAGCTGCGTCAACATTAGTGAGATGGCTAAGGAAGGGGAGGGGGTGTGTCTTATTGTTTAGTCCACAGAGTTCTTTAAGCTTACCATACCATTGACTGATGTTGGTCTGCTTCAGGTGTTGTAATATGGTTGGGTAGTGGGACTTCTTTGCAGTGCGTATTTCGCAGATGACTCGGTTGCGAAGGGACCTGTAGCGGATGTGGTCATTGAGATGAAAGGCTCTGTCTCTCTGTTGTATAAGTCTTTTGATCCGAGGTGTGATCCAGGGCAAGTCAGCTAGGTGAGATCTGACGGACTTCTCGGGGAAGAAGTGGTGGTGAGCTTCCGTGGTGGTGTTGGTATAATTTATCCATTTGGTTTCCACGTCATCCACGCTAAGTACTTCAGTCCAGGGATGGTGAACTATCCACTGCCCTAAGAGGCTCACTGCAGAGTCAGTAATCGGCCTGTAGGTTCTTGATGTAGGGTCTCTGTACTTGAGTGGGAGTGGCAGCTGGGGACCAGAGCACTGATAAGTGTGTGCTACACCCGATAGGAGGCATTGGTTGAGGAGGTTGGTACTGGTCCGCTAAGTCAGTTAAGATAAGGTCGAGGGTATTTTGACCGTGTGTGGGGAAGGTCACAACTTGTGATAGTGATAGCTGTTCCTGGATATCAGTGGTGTCAATTTCATTAAAATCCCCACATAATACTAACTTGGCACATGGGTACCTAACTCTGAGATGGTCTGAGGTGGTAATGAGATGATTGATAAGAGTGTCTCTGGTGGGTGAGCGAGGCAGATGGTATGCCACACAGATTATGATGGAAGCAGTGTGGCATGGGTGGGCTGGCTGTTTAAAGAAAATCAGTTGTTGTATTATTAATGCACTTCAACAACTAAGGTCATTAAGTGTATAACAAGGTTATTAAAAGAATATTATATCAACAATAAAAAAAAATATGTAACGGAACTCTCTGGGTTGAAAATCGGACATAGAAGTCTGGCCGTCACCGAGATGATTGTTATTTACTGTTAAGTGTTATATGCAAGTAACCACAGAATTTGTCTTACGAATAAAGAGAAAACTTTATACTGTACATTACTATAAAGATAAAAATAAGAACAAATAAGTACAGCAGTATAATGTATGTGGAAGATGAATGTTTATCTGGGAGCAGCTGGCAGAGGGGCGGGGGGGTACTGTGGGGTACGGGATGTCTGGGTTCACACTCGGGATGGGATGGAGAAAGGAAACTCACAATGTGCTCTCTGTATACATGTTGTATTGGATGTACAATGCAGCTTGGTGCTGGGAAGTGGCAGCGTGGTTACAAGCGTGATGTAGAGAGAGCTGGTTGGTGAGGGTGCTCAGAGGAGGACAGCTTGTGGGTCGCCATGCTCTCCGGCGGGAGCGAGGGCCGCCAGTCAGTGGCGGAGGTGGTGGTGTAGCTTGCTGCGGCTGTAGCTAGAAGAAGAGAGAGGTCACCACGAGGTCAAGTCTTATATAGCGGAGGTAGGCGTGGCTTAATAGTTGACCTCCGTGATGTATGGCGGCGCTGGTTGACCCAGACCACGAGGCATACACAGGGGAATTCACGGGGTCGGCTACTCAGCGACAAACAGCGTTTGTAGGGGAGAAATCCACTACAGTACCATGGGTGGGTGGCTCACCCCCCTTTAGCTCTCACAAGAATCCTTTAACACTTCTTTATGCAATTACACCACAATTCTCATATAGTTTAGGATCATTTGGTGCCAGGTTGATAAAATATTATCCTAAAAGAATTAGCTTTCCTGAAAAAAGAATCCCACACTGAAAACCATGAGTCATTTGTTTACAAAGGGCAAACAGCTGATCGGCTTACCACAATGTCTGTCTTCAACATTTAGTAAGTTAGTATAGTACAGTTGTGTATTTATCATCACTTAATAAATACTATTGCAGTGTATTTATCACCAATTAGTAATATTGTATTATGTATCTGCATATACCCTGGTTTATTCATTAATCATTTGTCTAAGTGTACAAGTAGCCAAACTGAGTCATCATATAACACTCAAAGATAGTAAATAAAATTTTTAAGAAGTTATCTTCATATCAAATACTATACAGTGTGTTATGGTGACCCCTGTTGTAAGCTGGTCTACTGAAAGCTGTCACACAAATGCATCTTGAGTAGATAACCTTCTGATACAGCTTATCCTTTTATTTTCAAGTCATATTACAAATTACTTACAGTCTTGTAATTTTTTCTCTAATACTGAAGTTGTTATATTAATCATGATGAACCATAAACAATAAGAGGCCAATCATATGAGAATATAATACTGAATCAATGAATAAATAAACCTGACAAATTTGGCAACACCTGATCAGCCCCAGCCTGCACACATACTGGTACTCAAGTGTCTTAGTTCTGTTGGTCTATAGTAAATCTGATGAGACCACTGTACAGTATTCAGTAAGTGTTGTTCATTTCATAAGATTTTTTTTATAATTTTTCCCAGTTATTTATTTTTTAATTTTTATTTTTTATTTTTTTTAGTATTTCTGGTGACCAGAGAATCTCATAGTCCAAAAAAAGTTAATTCCGATATACTGTACTTTGTATGGGATATTTATTTGCTTGGCAGCTCACCTCGCATATAATCTTTGTCTCTAAGTTTAGTCGCCCAGTTACCTGCTAGCTATCATGACGAATGCATGTCCTTCGACATCTCATGACCAGCCTCGTCCTTCCACACCCTCAACAGAAGTGCTGTTCATCAAGAATTGCTTGATGTGAGTGGTATTAATATACAGTAGATTTGGGTGACCAAGACAGTGATGGGGAAGAAGCAGACCCAGAAGACGTCGAGTTTGTTGAGGCGGCCTGCAGTGAGGACAGTGGTATAGGCACACGAGTTTTATGTATAATTTCGGAAGTGATCGGACCCACCCTGTCAGATACTTTTAATAGGTTTGTATCATAATCTAATGCAAGCAGAGACAACGTTATATCTGTGAACCATAAGTACATGTCAACGATACTTGTGTGGATAAGGAAGAAAGTGATCATAGTATTGGATGAATATATTTTCAGCCCGTTCATTATCTCTGCGATGGATTGTAGGGAGAAAAATGGCTGAACGTACTCTTGTTCAGTAGGTCATGCTGGGCTTATATTTAGGCCTAAAAGTTCCTGATTGGACAGCCATAATTTTGAGACATGGTTATTGATTAATTGAGAGTTATTGATTAATCTCAATAGAAAGATAAGCAAATAAACACGTGAAATGCTTCGTGTCTTTTATTTTTATCTTTAGTTGACTATTTTTTTTAATTTACTGTGGATTTGTTTTAATAATTGAGACAAATAATTATTCTATTTTTTTACTTTTTACTTTCATTACTTGAGTACTTTAAGAATGAGATACTTTTTTACTTCTACTTGAGTACATTGACATTTGGATACATTTACTTCTACTTGAGTTACATTTTGCCAATGTAACAATACATTTACTTAAGGAACAAAGTCCAGTACTTTTTACAACTCTGCAGTTGCCACAGATCATATAAAAAGTATTTATTTTACCAATTAACTGAGCATAGTATTACTGTTAATGATCATAATGTTTATCAGAATTACATTTCACCAAGAAATTATAAACAAAATAAATTATGGTAAAAAACATCCGACAGACCGGCAAATCTTTAGCCATGGTCCGCTGATCATAGATTGGAAACCACTAATGTAGAGAATTTACATCGTCTGTTAATGAAAGGTTCACTCTTTTCTCAGGGTCAACTTTTTGAGGCATATAACATGGCCAAGCTGATGAACCTTCCATCTGTTTTCATCTGTGAGAATAATGGTTACGGCATGGGCACCAGTATTGATCGTGCTTCAGCCTCTACCAACTACTACACCCGAGGAGATTATGTCCCAGGAATATGGGTAAGCTACACTAGCTGTGTCTTGTTCAACTTGGTAGTTTCCCACTTTTCCCACTAACCAAACACCTCAGTCACTGTAATTTTGGTCATGTATCCTCACATTAACTGATCCTCTTTTCATCCCAAAAGATGTATTTATGAAGGATAAAAGATATGACATTTAGTCTTGGCACAAAGTTTAATATATTCCATTGCTGCAAGTTTAAGATACAGCTGCTAAGACATGAATTGGTGGACAGATGAATCCAGTGCCCTATCAACAAGAAGACTATTGTGGTCTGTTGTGCATTACATGAGTGAACATGTCCTGTTCATGTTAAAATATGTGTGGCGTTATTTTATATTTTCTCATATTCATCCTAGAACAACAGATCATTCATCTCAGCAGCAGTCTCATCTATCCCCAGGTTGCTACAAGTTCACAACTTGGCATTATACAGGTATCCCACTCTATACTAGTGTTCACTATAGTAAACCCCAAAAATACCAGACACTGTCTATAATGGACCTCAGCTTTAATGGACACTCTGACCCGTTCGGACTATTTTCATTAATTACCGACTCAAGTCTGTTCAAGTAAAAAATAATGGACTCGGTTCATTAAGGTAAAAAATTATGGATTCAGGTCCATTAGTATCCATATCAGAAATACCCCATTTAGCCTTACAGTACCCTGCATAATACTGATTTGTTGTTGAGTTATTTGGTCCTGTCCTGGAATTCTTTTTACAAGGAAAAAAAAGGAAAAGATGAAAATCCATAATACAAGGCAGATGTTAAAAGACAGAACACTCGGGACTCTGACAGCGACCACGCTTGTTAACAGTCTCTGTCAGTGAGAGCAATGTACCCATGTACGTTTGCAGCCAATCAGCGCTCTCCTCCTTATACTAGAAAAAATCCACTTATGTCTGGCAGTGCAGCAGTCATTATTATGCCTCATCCCCCCCACCAGCACCATACATGTTACAGGTATCCCCCAATCTACGATCTCCCTATCTAAGATATTAACAATGGTGATGTATTAAGAACACCACCCTGGCAGTAAGAAGTGATACCACCCTCAATGTCAAGACCTGACTTAATTATACTCAGAATAGGCTTTTGTACTTCAAGCTTTGTCAATAAATTTGTTAAACTAAAAAAAAAAACACCCTACCTTCAATGTAAACAATTCCCAAAAGAGTGCAATGTGAACGTTAATGATTGTCCTCTCACTGTAAGGGGAGAAAAAAAAACACTGATGACAAGTTACAGCACCGATACTGACCAAATCATTGAATTACTGCACAATCTTAGCCATGTGACATTACCATAGAACATAGCTTGCTACTGTAGTGCACCAGGTGCCTACTTGGCAGTGCTCATGTTTGTTGTTGTCAATATGAGGACCGCAAAGTGGGCACCTGTGCACTACAGTAACAAACTATGTTTTATGGTGATGCCTCATGGCCGAGATCATGTAATTCAACAATAATCCATCAGGATCAGTGTTGTTTCTTATCTTTCTTTTTTTTTGTTACCTTATAGTGAGAGAACATTACTACCGTTCACATTCTACAGTACTGCTCTGTTTTGGTGACTATGATGTGGTGTGTGCTTAATTGTTTTATTTACTGTATATTATTAGGGATGGGATATTTTCTCAGTAATACATTTGGGTGTTGGACTGGCTGGGATTGTATGCTATTGAACCCCGTGTTATAATGATCCTGATCTGCGATATTTCACATAGCGATGGGTTTTCAGGAACCTAACCCCATCGTAAATATGGGGATACCTGTACTAACGTGTAGAACGACTGTTTATTCTGTTAGCCTGCAGGCCACCACCCTGTCACATTTAAATGCATCCGCATCCTGTAGCCCACCACCCTGTCACATTTAAATGCATCCGCATCCTGTAAACATCAGTTGGTGGTGTTGAATGTTAGTGGTGATGATGAGTGTTGGTGCTAATTTTGGTGGTTGTTGGTGGTGGCAGCGAGTGTTAATGGTGGTGGAGTGTTGGTGGTGATGCTGAGTGTTGGAGGTGGTGAGTATTGGTGGTGATGCGGAGTGTTGGAGGTGGTGAGTGTTGGTGGCGAAAAGTGACCCACGTAGTCACTTTAGACTACAGGAATACCTCGCTATTTGCAACCCCGTTTCTCCACATTTTATATTTTAACACCCCTATTCATATTCACAAGCATACCCCCACTTACTTTATACAGGGGGTCCCCGGGTTACGAACGAGTTCAATTTCTGAGGACATCCATGAGTTGGAAATACAGTATACTCTTGATTTAATGGAATCCGATGTAACGAACTCTAGATTTAGCAGAAGGAATTTTCTCCTTTATTTTTCACTCGATTTAGTGAACTACTCACTAAATCGAGATTAATTCTGATGATACGCTCACACCTACAGAGACACCTCAGACACATGATACAGTAAAACCTACTTCAGCCTACGACAGATGTACTAAATGTATAAAAACGATAAATAATGATATAAAAAACACCTTATAAGATTCACCCCCATTTTAGCAGGGAGTATTTAGGACACTGTTACCAGTAACATATAAAAACACAGGAAAAGAGAAACACTGGAGTACCTTAGCTTTCATCTTTATTTAAGACATCCTCAAAGGCAGCTGAATTTATAGGGACTGAGAGGCTTAAATACAATGAGTGACCTTACATAACATCAGGTCAGGTCAGTAACATGGGATCCACTTATCCACGCACCACCTTCACCACAAACGAAAGAAGAGCTTATTAAAAAATGGGTGACATAACAACAGGTCAGGTCAAAGACAGAGACCCATTTATCATTTACCTTACATCCACCTCCCAGCCAGAAGGAGATAAGGATTTTCAGGATGAAGTTGGTTTTAGGCTTAAAAGTTTTTATCTTATAAAATGTCAGACTTGATTTAGCAGAATATAACTTGCATTGCTGGAATCCTTGCAAGATAATGATTAATTTGAGGGGGAGGTGAGGCAAAGGTTTTAGTTTGTAGTCCTCAGCAGCATTGCTCCCCAGCAGTAAAGGTCAGCCTCTCCTTGACAGCCTTATGCCCTGGTGCTGTTATTTCATGTTTTGAAAGGTACGTGCATTCCAATATCCTTTTCCAAAATAAACCAGTCTCACCAATATTAAAAACTTGCTCAGAACAATAACCTCCTTCTTCAATTACTTTAGTTAAAGCAGCAGGAAATTCACTTGCTGCAACTTCATCTGCACTGGCTGCTTTGCCTTGCACTTTAATGTTATGTAAGTTTGTCCTTGCTTTGAACCAACTAAACCAGCCCCTACTAGCAAAAAATCTTCCCCATCACTTTCGCCACCACGTTTAGCCTTCAAGTCAGCGTGCAAGCTTCTCGATTTTTCCTGAATCAAGGCTAGACTTAGAGGTAGACGCTGTTGATTTTCATCTCCCACCCATATCACTAACAATCTTTCTATTTCAATTAACAATCCACTTCTTTGTTTAGTTATCACAGTTGACTGTATTGGTGTAGATCCTTTAACATGTTCAAGAATTTTCTCTTTCAAAATTGTTCCGACCGTTGAACGGCTGAAGCCCAGCACCTTACCGATCACTGATGGTGTTTCACCTTTCTCAAAACGTTTAATTAAATCAAGTTTAACTTCCATCATAATTGCTTTCCTCTTCTTGGATGCACCACTATCACTTACATCAGGTTTGTGTTTGGGAGCCATGATGAGGGCTGAAAGAGATAAGTAAAAAACAACAGTTTGCACTTGATCACACACGTTATAAGGTAAGGGTAAAGCGTACTGTCGCTCCCTCAAGGCATTTATCTGAGTGACACATTACTGTACTCCCCATGTGCCGCTCCGCCATCCCTCTACGCTGTGCAAACTAGTTCTTGTACATAACTGCTACGAACCATTGTACTTATGTCGTATTTTTATAATAATTGACCTTATGGTACCTGTTCGTATCGGCGGGCATTCGCAAGTCAGACGTTCGTAAGTCGGGGACTTCCTGTATATGGTTTTGGGCTGCATTGTGAAAAGTATGAAAAGAGGTGCCTATTTCCATTTTGGCAGCACCAGTATTGAGCAAAGGTGAGGGGAGTGAAGGACAAAGAGTCTTCTATTGGTTTTCTAGATGGGTAGGTGGAGTACATGATGAATTAAGGTGTTAAGGGTATATCTGTCCTCTTTTTATGGCAGGACCTTGATTGAGAGGAAAATTCAATACAAATTTTTGAGAACTTTAACCCCAGAATAGTAATAGTAACCCTATTTGTTACCGTATATTATGGCCTATAAGTCAACTTTTGAAGCTCCAAATTTTTAGTTCAAAACTATGGGGTCGTCTTATACAACAGGTATAAAATGTCAACCTCTTAAGTACACTCCACCACTAGTATCAGATTTTCACTTTATCTTACTGGTAGGTCTCAGTCACTTAATTTCCAACACTCACAAACAAATTTTGCTTGTCTGTAGCTTTTTTCCAGAAGGATAACTGTTACTGAATTCTTCCTAAGGTCAGTGTTTACACTATTCATACCGACACCTTTCAAAACATCAAAATATCTTTTGGTGTTAACTACAGCTTCTTACAAACAAATGCTACTAGGGCAGTTACTTGTAGTATTTGTTGCTTAATTTTTTAATAATGCACCTGGATTTTGTAAACATTTACACCAGAGACTGTAGACTTCGTTCGCTTGTTGCTCCATATTGCCAACACAATGTACTACCATTAATAATATAAAGTATGCACTGTTAATTGAATTTTTAAATTACTTATCCAATATTTACTTTACATTTAAGCAACTTTTATACTGTATTGTTTTAGGTGAAATAATATAACCCTTTTTAATTATGTACCAAGAGTTCATTTGCTTGTTGCCGTATACTGCTAGTACAGTGTTCTACCATATACTGTACTGTCACTATAATGTACAACATGCTTTGCTTACCATATTCAATAATTATTAAGTTTGAAACTTTTTTACTTGCCAATATATTTAATAA